GTGCGTGTGCGTGTGCGGTGTCAAGTCAGAAACACCACACAAAAAGCCAACAACAAGATACACGAAGTTACCTTCAAACTTCGACAAGATACTGGACACCGCCAGGGACGAGAGACGTGCCACGTAGTCTGGCGGCGTGTCTGCGGTGGCGTCGAGCAGGCAGCCGCACACAACCGGCAGCAGTCGCGGGTCCGCCAAGACCACCTGCGCCGCGCTCGGGTAGTAGGTCGTGATGTGGTACAGGAAGGCCACCAGCGTGTCGCACTCCTGAGACCCGCGACGGGCGTCGCTGGCCAGGATGGCCGTGGCGTGGGCGATCACCTGCGGCGTCGCCATGGCATCGACCACCTCCGCTGGCGGGTCTTCGTTGGCCAGGGACAGGAAGCACATCGCACTCACCACCATTTGGTCGGGCGACGGGAAGCCAGCCTGGTGGGCCGACGAAGCGGCCTCCGAGGGGTCGATGGAGAGAAAGAGCCGCACGACCGTGCCAGCGGCACCGCGCGAGCGCCTGAAGCTCTCTCTGAACAGGCGGCCGGCGGGACCCCGCTGGGTGAGCCTGGAGAGGACGAGGGACTGGTCGGCCTTGTGGTCTTCCTCGTCCTCTTCTTCCTCTTCGTCCTCTTCTTCATCGTCATCGTCTGCTCCATAATTGTCAAAATAACAACAAAATGAGATAAAAGGAATATTAGAAAATCATAATATTGTACTTTGGGGGGGGGCAGTTGCAGCACCAAGAGACCTGCGCCGGCGCAAGACAAGGCCAAGAGCAAGAGCCGACGCGCACAACCCGACCACTCCGGCGCCCAAGAACAAGAGTGACGACGTCGAAGGTGTCGACGGCAACGCAGGCGAAGGAGGACTAGACATGTCGGTGGGTGGGAAAAGCCCTCTTTGTGGCTGTTTTGTGTGTTTTGTGCCGTTCGGCCAACCCACTAACTTCGAGGAATGCGCGGAGATTGGCCAGGGCTCCAACTCACCGCCGCACTGAGCGCTTCTCAGCGCGCAGGCACATAGGCCACCCACGAGGGTGGTGATCAGGCCCAGCCAACACTTCAGCAAAGGTGGAGATCCTTGCAGGCGCCATGGCAGTGCGACTTGCCGAGGCGTCATCACACGGCGCACTCCACTCCACGGACGAGCACATATTTCACGGAAATGAACCAGCCACCAGCTTTGACCAAGAAGACCCAGAGAACCATATTTTAACAATTTCGTCTGGCAGCCCCTCAAGGTCATGGACGTGAAGGTGCCATACGCGACGGCGGGAGCAGACGAGGAGGTGGCGAGGCAGCACTACGTGCGCCTGCCGACTCCGCCGCAGTCCCTCCTGGCCCGCGCCACAGAGGAGGCCAGGGAAGAGGTGAAGGACGGTGGTGGTGCCCAGACGACGCTCCCTGCTTCCGGGGGCCTGCACCTCTTCCTGCCCGACGAAATTACTCTCCACGTACTCCCCTCCCCCCCAAACCGTCTACGGCACTGCCGGACGTGCTACTCACCCCACCCCCGCTCGCTCTCGGCCCACACACAGGTATTCGGCTTTTTGGACGCACGGTCGCTGTGCCTTGCGAGCCAGACCTGCTTGCGATGGTGCGCTCGAGCTCGCCCAAGTGTGACCGTCACTTGACCTGTGTGGCAACCTCGACGGTGGCTGCCCCGGGCTGGGTGTGCGGCTTATTGGGCGTGTACATGGTGGTGGGTGGGTGGGTGGGGTACAGGTACACGGTGGCGCACGACTGCAACGGGCTGGGTCCGGCTCTGATCCACAGGGTAGGTCTCGCAGTCGCATCGTCGGCGATCGCAGCCAGCTCCCTCCGCGGTGGCGTTCTTACACTTCTTTGTCTGTCGTGTGGGCCGGGCCTACTATCACGCCGGGCCGCCAGTACTTGCACATCGCGCAGAAGCAGCTGCAGGCCGTCAACCACCAGGTCGCCCTGTGCCGAGCGCAGCAGCAGGGCGGAGGAGGAGGAGCCAAGGCGGTCACGCCACCCGTCGCCGGCTCACCGGTCACGCCTCCGCGGGTCGACGCCAAGGGCCAACCTGTCGACGATCGGCTCGGCTATCTGTCGGCACATATACCATCCGCTTCGTTCGTGTTGGGATCGGCTGTGGGCTGACCTCAAGCCGGACGTGGTCAGATGTCTCTGGAACTGCTGGAGGCCTACGTGACGGCCAAGCAGAGCGAGCTCAGGTCGAACGTGCTGGACGCTAGGCCCGAGCTGGCGCATCTGCTATCCATTCTAACTGGGTTTGCCCCCCTCCTCTCTGATCGCACTCGCTTTCTTCTGGCTGTGCGCTCCCCCGAGGCCCAAACACTGACGACATGGCACGACACACGACACACACGACACACAACACACAACACACGACACACGACAGGCAACTGAACGAGACCCTCGCCGCGTTGCGTGAGATCGCCGAGGTCAAGAAGACCATGAACGAAAACTTTGACATCTTTGAGCTCACCCTCCGGAGGTACCACTTCCAGTTCGTGGAGATGTTCCCTCTCGCGACCGACACCAAGAAGAAGCGGGAGCCCATCTCTCTGATCATCGAGGACCCCACCGTACGTGCGCCACCCAAGCTGACTCCAGAAGACTTCGTTTCTATGCATAACTCGCACATGTGTTGACAGGCTCGCGCCTTGTGGGACCAACACGTTGGAAAGGCGGTCTATCTCTGCGACTTTGAGGTTCGTTCGGTGTCCCCCTGACACAGACGGTGCAATGGACCAGCCCGTTGATGATGTAGAGACCCATCGTCATCATCATCGCGAGCAGGAATTCTTCCAGAACGTGGTGCTGAAGGCGTATGGCAGCACGGACCATCTGGAGGAGATGCGCTACTGCATGGCCTACTTCCTCAACTTCCCTCGCGGTACCGTACCTCCTCTCATCAAATGTTTCCTGCACTGCAGGCCGACACACGTACGTGCTAACTTAACGGGTACGACCACTCTCGATCCCGCACACACACTCAGACAACACGGTGACGGTGTACAAGTGGCACATCCTCACCAGACTGTTCGGACCCTGGGATTCGTTCTTCGACAACATCAAGCTCTACGTCATGGGGCAGGGCTTCCTCGGCCTCATCAACCGCATTCGAGCCGAGGTAACCCTAGCGCCACCCGACCAGGAGCCCATGGGCCACGGGGTGTTTGGTGGTTTACACTGTTGTCGTTCATTTTTTGGTAGGAACTGCTTCGGGCGGCACCCGACCAGCTCCTCATTCGCTTCAGCCGCACCATTCCTTGGGCTCTGGTGCGCCTCCTGCCTCCTGCACACCAGTCGGTTCATCATGCCGCGCAGTCGCTGACCGAACCAATGCGCGAACAAAAGGCGTTTTCCTATCGCACGAAGGGGTCGTAGCCCACCGCACGAATCAAACGTACGTCCCGCGCATTTCGTCATAAGTAGGGCATCGGGTACTGTACATGGAACACGACACACACGACACAAACACACGACACACGATGCACACAGGAGCTCAAGCACAAATGAAGCCATTGGCAAGTTCCTTACTGAGCTGCGGAAGAGCAATCCCGGCCTGCGTCTCATGCCCTTCAAGCTCAACGGAAAGTACGCCTCCATCATGCGCGTGGCCTTGTGATGATGACGACGACGCCACCACACCTGTTGATCTCACACAATGAACAACCTCTCTTGCATCAGGGCGGTGTACGAGAAGGGCACCGTATCGGGGTACTGTGACGAAGCCAACACCTACATCAGCCGCTCGTAGGTCGTCGCAGAGATGAATGAAAAAAAAACCATTTGTAAAAAGGTGTTCACTGGGGGATTAGCTCCGCCGTCACCGCCATGGGGTGCCTGGCGTGGACTAACGGCTCTTCTCAGCGCACAGGCAAAAAGGAGGAAAAACTGCAGTTTCTTTGCCCTCACCCACGAGGGTGGCGATCAGGCTCAACCAACACTTCAGCAAAGGTGGAGATCCTTGCAGGCGCCATGGCAGTGCGACTTGCAGAAGCTGCATCACATCACACGGCGCATTAACATTCACATTCACAACACGGCGACAACGCGACCTAACGATCAGCTCAATGATTTGTGGGGGCGAGGGCAGGTTTGTGTGCTTTCTTGATACGAGGCACGTACCACTCGGCACAGCCGTGGAGGGCGCTCAAGATCTTGAGAATGCACACGAGGTCCTCGGGACCACCGCAGGCGCTGATGGCGCCGGCGATGCCCACGGCACAGGCGGCCTTCTTGAGGAAGCTGCAGTGCTTCTTGAACGGGGCGTCGACCTGGATGGCCTGCTCGAACTCGGCGATCAGACCCAGCGCCTGGGTGCCGGCCGTGGGGATGCACTGGGCGGCACACGAGGCCAGCGCGGTGAAGGCGGCGTTGCCGGCACTGAGCCGCACACATTCATATCATTAATGTGTCGACATAGGTGACGCCAGCAAATATGAGCCAACAACAAAGTATCGGAGTTGTGGAGATGTACGCCTTGCTGGCACAGGTCTGGAGGCAGGCGGTGTCGGTGGGCTGGCAATCAACTGGTGGCGGTGGAGGGAGACCATCAGAAAAAGTTTCGTTTTTGGTACCTAAAAAGAGGTGGAAGTTGAGCTGGTACCGGCACAGCGGAGGGCGCTGGCGCACACGGTGTCGTGCATGCAGAACTCAAGCTGAGCCGAGCATTTATCAACGACGCAGTTGTCGGCCTTGGCGGCTGCGTGGGGGGAGGATTGAGTGTCAGCTGTTTCACATTCCGATACGGAGGCATAGCCAACCAGGGCGAACAAAAAGGAATATGGAAAATGGCACACTGGTCCAAACAAAGAGGGGGAGGGTACCAGAGAAGACCGCAAGAAGGAGGACGAAGGCCAAGAAGGTGCGCATGTTAGGGAGATTGAAAAAAAATGAAACTTGAGCCTTGTAACAAAAGTTTCGGGGCGTGATGAGGCAGGATAACCATCAGGCGATTTCTCCGTGCGACGCGTTACTACTGGCGGATTTCATCCCGATAATAAGAGCCTCGAGAGCAAAAGGGAGGGTGGTGGGCTTCGGTTGCGTCGTGGGCTTCGGTTGGGTTTTTCGTTCATTACGATTGTTTTTGTCTTTTTGATTTTCTGGTTTTTATGGTATTTTTTTGATTTTCTGGTTTTTGTGGTACTTTATGTTGTTTTTTTGACGAGTATTTATATAAATCGATGCAACCCATCAACATATGCACCATCCCCGTTATTGGCTGCTGGCGCAAGTGGCTCTTTTGTGCGACCTCTGGCCCGCACACGACACGATTGTGGGTCGTGCCAGGAATCACTGCAGAGAATCGGACATGTTGGTCGTGACAATGAACTTATAACTTAATTTATCGGACATACTGGTGTTGGTTAGGGTGTTGTCTTCGTTGTTGGATCCGCCGCGATGTTGAACTGTTGTCGCCACAGGCTGACTTCGTCGAGGGTAGTGTTGCTACCGCACACGATGAGCACGGTCGATTTGCCGGCGAAGAGGTCCGGGTTCTTGAGCACGGCGGCCACCACGCACGCCGCGGCGGGCTCGACCAGCAGCTTCTCGCGGTCGAGAAAGGATACGAGGGCCTCGACCGCCTCCTTGTCCGACACCCGCAGCGCGCGCTCGACGTTTCGGCTCAGGATCTGGTAGACCTCGGGCGTGCTCGACTTGGCGCCCAGCGTCTTGGCGATGCTGGTGATGGTCGGGAGGGTCACCAGCTGGCCCGCCTCGCTCGATTGGTAGAACCAGTCCGCACCTTCGGTCTCCACGGCGTAGAACCTGGCACCACACGCAACACACACGCAACGCACACGCAACACGCAACACGCTCAGCGACCGTGTCGCACGATTGGGCGATGATGAAGATGCTGGTAATGGTTGGTGGTGAAGGTGTACTTAGTTTGGGTGTCGCCTTTGACGCGGTAGCAGGACGCGATGCCGGACATCAGGCCTCCGCCGCCAACCGACGCGACAACGTTGTCGACGTTCATCTGCTCCAGGAGTTCCATGGCAATCGTGCCCTGGCCGAGAATGACCTACAAAAGCAACATACAACCGTCAGCCATGCGTGTTGGAACGTTGATGATGTTACGTAAACGACGACGTACGTCGGTCTCGGCGAACGGATGGATGTAGAGGGCATCCTTGGCCTCGCTGGCCATGCGGACGGCCTCCGCGTTGGCACTGTCCCACACATCGCCGATCAGCTTCACCTCTGCGCCGTAGCTTGCAATGACCCTGCACTCCTCGTCCACGAAACACACACGCACACGATTAGGGAAGAAGAAGAAGAAGAAGAAAGAGAGTGCGCACGCACTTGCATCGGTGCTGTGGGGTGTTGGTGGGCAGGACGATGGTGCAGGGGACGCCGAGTCGCTGTGCGGCGATGGCCACGCCGAGGCCGTGGTTGCCGCCGCTGGCGGTGTAGACCCGCAAGGGCAGTCGGCCGTGGTGCCGGTCGCGGTGGGCCAGGAGCGCGTGGGTGGCGCCGCGTAGCTTGAAACTGCCACCCTCGTGCAGACACTCGAGCTTGAGCCACACCGATCCGCCCACGGCCTGGGACAGCCACCGGCTGTACTTGATTGGCGCCGGCCCCACCAACGTGTGGGCCGACCCAGCAGCATCTCCTTTCTCGAAGCTCCCTGCATAGAACGGTTGTTCATCGCTCGCCAAGGGGGCTGCAGGAGATTGTTCATCTTGGCAAGTAGCGGAAGATAATAACGAAGATGGAGGCGAATCAGTCACGGGGACCGATTCACCATTAAGGCGGCGACGTGCGGCTTTGAATCCGGACCAGCTCAAGCCCAGGGGCAACTCGGCAGCCTCGGCCGAGACCGAACTGCTCGAGGACGCGGTCTTCATCTCCACGAGAGCAAACAAAAAGATAAATGAAAATAGCTATTTCTCGGATGTGTCGACAGTGGTGTGCTGTCGACAGTTCTGAACCGCCATCAACCCGTGGGTGATGGGGAGGTGTCCAAAACGGAAAAGGCCGAACAGAAGCCCTACCGGAAAGCAAGAGCCATGCGTCGCACGAGTTGGATTCGATCGTCAGTCTCGAGGGCTGTTTCCTGCCAAGCAGTTGGTGCTTCCTCCCTGCTCTCTTTGAGAAGACTCGAAGTGGAAGTGAAGTCTAGAGATTGAACCTCTTCACTCTGGCTGATTTCTAATGCAGGAGCACGCACTACTGCCACCGCACTGAGGGCACACTCTGCCCCGCTGGCCTCCACCAACGTACCTTCCACTTTTTATATTCGAATTAATGAATAAATAAACAATAATAATAATTGGAGGCGACTCGTTCTCCCCCAGTCTTCGTGCGCGCGGAGAGCGCTCGGCACGGCTGCTCGGTCTGGTGGGCAGAGGACCGGTTTTGCCGGGTCGTCCTCCTCGTTCCTGGTCGGTGCCGCGGCGGCTGTGGGCGTCGCTCTCGGCGCCATCCTCTACTGTACGCTCTCTCCGGCCTTCATTCGCCGGCGCACGCGTGGGCGTTCGTGCTGTGGTCCTGATCTGGTTGACCACTTTGCAGACGACGAACAGAACCAGGTCGTCTACGCTGTGCAGAAGGACGGCACGGTGAAGCGTTACTTCCTGGGCGTCGACGGCGGCGGCAGCAAGACCAACGTACGTCTTGAGCTGGGCTGAGTGCGTGCGTGCGGTGGTGTGCGATGACGCGTGTGCGTTGTGCGTGTGCGGTGTGATTTCACATTTCTGTATGCTCGGCTCGCCCAGGTCACGTGCATCGACGAGGAGAAGAAGGTGGTGGGCGAGGGCACCTCGGGCTGCACCAACTTCAACAGCGTGGGCCAGGAGAAGGCCAGCCAGCACTTGCGCGAGGCCATCCTCTCGGCCCTCAAGGCCGCCGGTGTCCCTGAAGACCAAGGTTAGTCCCTCCCCCACCACTTCCGTCGAAGCCGATCCCCTTTCGTGTCATTATTCCTTTTTGATGTGACGCGACCAGTTGCCGGAATCTGCTTGAGCATGAGCGGCGTCGATCGACCGGCCGACAAGCAGTTGGTGCGGAGTCCTCGCGCATACACACGTAGCACTTCATTGGCTGACTTGTTGGCCGAATGTTGTTTTCGTCTTCAGATGCGAAGCTGGATCACGCCGATCCTGCCCAAGGCCCGGATCGACGTGCACAACGACGCAGTGGCTGCGTTGGTCAGGTATGAATATTTAGTTATTTATTTATTTAGTTGTTACCTCGTCTTACCATGCTTGTCGACAGCGGCACCGATGGCAACCTTTTCGGGTTGGTGGTCATCAGCGGCACGGGCACCATCACCTACGGCGTCAACAAGGAGGGCGAAACCACGCGTGCGGCTGGCTGGGGGTACGTCAGTCGTCTGGTGTGGTCGACACAATTTTTCAATCGCACGGCTCACCTCCGCCTCCTCTCTCGCTAGTCCTATGCTGGGCGACAGGGGCAGTGGCTACCAGATCGGCTACGAGATTCTCACCGCCGTCGTGCGCGCCTTGGACGGCCGCGGACCAGCCACGTCGCTCGTCGAGGCTGTGCTCACCAAGCTCAACCTTTCCAAGGCATGCACCAACCCGCCTCACTTTCAACCAATCCACGTCGTTCTCATCTCTGTCGTGTGTGTCGTTGTGTGTGTGTGTGTGTTGTGTCGTGTGTGTCGTGTGTGCACAAATAGGGCGAGGAGCTGATCCCGTGGGCCTATTCCAGCGTGGCCTGGGAGCGCTACGCCCAGCTTGCGCCCCTGGCTGCCATCGCGGCGCGTAACGGCGACAAAGGTGAGAAGCACTGATTGAATTTCAATGTTATACCCCTTTCTAACGACGTTCTGGCAGTGGCTGAGCAGATCTTGGAGGGCCAAGCCCAGGATCTGGTGGTGAGCATCCAGGCCGTAGCCAAGAGACTCCACATCGAGAACCAGCCCTTCCCGGTACATTTCCTCCATGCTTTGCGCCTTGCATTGCATTGCAGTGTTGCAACGTTGTCGTTCTGATCTCTTGTGCCAATGTCGCTTGCGTGGGTAAAGCTGGTGCTGGCCGGCGGCAACTTCACGCACGAGGGCAGCTACCTGACGGCCCTGCTGAAGAAGAAGGTCAACCAGCAGCTCCCGCAAGTCACCGTGCTCCTGCCCACCCTCAAGCCCGAATACGCCGCCGCGCTGCTGGCCCGCAACAACGCCACCGCCAAGCACTGAGCAGATAGCTGGCAGAGCAAACTGAACTCGTCTCTTTTTCCGTTCCATTTTCATTTTTGTCGACGCGCCGATAGCCCGAAAACCAGTACCAGCGGCGTTGCACGACCACAAACAACACAGCACGAGCAGGCCTGGTGTGGTTGAAGACGATGATGCAGTTGCGGCAGGGAGTTGTAGTGCTTGCCGTCGTGGTGGCGGTGTTGGTCTCCTTGAGCGCGGCAGCTGTGCATAAGCCCGTATATGGGCGCTACGCCGGATGGGTGCCCAGCGCCTCCGCTGCTGCTCGTGCCGAGGACCTTCACCGCGTGCGATTCTACCTCACCCCCAGCAACGTCGACCGTCTTGATGTACGTACAATAGAAACTTGAAAGTAGCTGTGAGATTTGCAATCAAATTAATTGAAGTAAAATTGATTTCCTGATTTGTGCGCTTGGCCTCCCTCTACACGGACATAGTCGCTGTTTTGGGCCGTGTCGGACCCTGAGTCTCCGCAGTATGCCAAGTACCTCACTACCGATGAGATCACTGAGATTGGTAAACGCCCCGTCCTACACCAACGCTCGCCTTTGTGCTCATGAACCGAGTCTATGTTGTTTTTCTGTCACAGTGTCCCCGTCTGCGGCCGCGCTCAAGACCGTGATGTCCTGGATCCACGAGCAGGGCGCCACCAACGTCGGTATGTCTCCTCTCCTTTTAAAACGCGTTGTGCGCTACACGCCGTGACCCTTCCTTGCGCAGAGCTGTCGCGCAACAGGGACGCGATCACTATGACTATGCCCGTGCACAAGGTCGAGGCCGCCTTTGGCGTGTCCCTCGGCCGCTTCGTGTCGCCCGACGGTACGCGACGTAGATCTCGATTACTACTATTACACCCAACCAACTGTAGAGGCCCTCACACCCGCCGTTGCAGGTGAGCGTCACCTCCTCAGGTCGACCAAGGCCTACACTCTGCCGGCCCACATCGCCGCCCATGTCGACTTCGTCACCGGCCTCACCGACTTCCCGCCCATGAGTATGATCGTCGGCTGCTCCACCGATCTCTCTCTACATCGATCGATGCTAACTGGATTGACTTTTTGGTCGACGTGGCACACTCCAGGCAAGAGGGCGCTCGCGAAGGCCGCTGCCTCCCGCGAGGTTCCCACGGCCTCTGGCCCGGGCGTGCCGACCGGCCTCGTTGTCCGCGCTCGCGGCGGCGAGGACCTCGCCATGGAGTTCATCCCTGTGTGCTACAACGGACAGTTCACCAAGAACGCCCAGCAGGTACGCGGCAACCAAGTTCGCTCGTTGCGTGCGTTACATGCAAACTTGGCCTAGGATATTTTAACATTTGTCTTCTCTCTTTTCTCGGCCAGCTGTGCGCCGATAACGGGAATGTCATCGACTCTTTCCAGGTCTCGGTCTCGTCCATCTCCTCGGCTGTGGGTCGTTCCCGCACCGACAGGGGAGTGTATCCCGAGGAGTGCAAGTTCAACGGCAACTACACCACCTGCACCACCACCGTCAAGGGTATGCATCCACTGCTGCGATTTTATTTATTGATTTATTTCTTTTTATTAGTTTTTTCCATCAAACATTTTCTGTCTTTTATATTTGGCAGTCAAGCCAGCTAATGATAGCTCCTCGCTCGACGCATTTACAGCGTGGTACTACGACGCGGTGAACGTGTCGATTGCGGCCGTGTTCCACAACGGCATCATCAGCGATCGCGGCTACAATGCCTACCCCGTCCTGGCCACCCCGCCCATCGTGCCCCAGAGCGTTTGGAAGCAGGTAGGTCCCCTCGCGCAGCCTTCATTCCTTCTTCTCTGCTCCTGGACCAGCTGCTCAACTGTTGTGATGTGCTGTGCGCTGCCGTTGTGTCGTACAGTACAACATTCCGCCCAATACGCTGGTGAAGACCAACGTGACCCAGTGCGTGGTCGAGTTCGAGCAGCAGTACTACGCGCCCTCGGACCTTACCCTCTACTTCCAGCAGACCGGGCTCCCCACCGACACCCCCGTCACCGTCATCGGTACCGTACTCACTCATTGACGTACCAACCCAACCAACCCAACCAACCCAACCAACCCAACCAACCCAACAACCAATCATCGACCAACAGGCCCCAACGACCCGACCAAGCCCGGTGGTGAGGCTACCCTCGATATTGAGTGGATCATGGGCGTCGCTCCCGGTACGCACATGTGCTCGAGTACTTATGGATCATGCTTGGCGTGCTCACCTTCGCCCGAATAATCTGCTTCTTGAAGGCGCCGCCACTGTCTTCTGGTCCATTGACCTCCCGTCCCCGGGCGGCGCTGACCCCATCCTCGAGTGGGCGCTCCAAATGGCCAACACCGATAACCGTACGCATACGCGTTTATTGAATTTCTTTTATATTAATATTGAAATATTAGGAGGCATAATTATTATGCCGCTTGTCTAATCATCTCGAATAATGGCCGCACTGCAGCCCCGCAGGTGAACAGCATCAGCTACGGCGTGGCTGAGGCCCTGGTGGACAAGTTCCTGGGCCAGGGCTACCTTGCCCGTGCCGACCACGAGTTCAAGAAGCTCGCGCTCCGCGGTATCTCCGTGCTCATTGCCTCGGCCGACAACGGTGCCGGCGATTTGGGTACCTCTCGACTTGACCTCCTCCACCCACAGCACACGCCACCTTAACCTGACTGACGTGTGGGCCGTGCGTACAGCTGAGATCCCCAGCTGCACTGTCCTCGATGCCGACTGGCCCTCGCAGTCGCCCTACGTCACGGCGATCGGTACGCCTTCATCCCCGTGCTGTTGTTTTCTTCACAAGCTGCGAGCTCACGTTGTTGCGCTGCTTGGTGCAGGTTCGACGATCATCACGCCCGTCTCTGAGCCCATCTGCTACCAGCGCTCGCCCATCGACTGCCTCAACAACCCGCTCGGCGAGATTGTCGTCTCCGTTGATCAGGTTCGTTTTCTATTGGTGCACAAAAAACTTCGTCGGTGTGGTTGGTTCAGGTTCCAAACCACAATAACTTCACTAATCAATGTGTTTCGTGTCATACGCACCCTCCCTCCGCCCGCATACAGGGTCTCTTCTGGACCACCGGCGGCGGTTTCTCGAACATCAGCTCGCGTGCTCCCTACCAGGCCCAGGTGGTGCAGAACTACCTCAAGCACACCAGCATCCCCTTCCCCGCCCCCGGCGTGTGGAACCCGAACGGCCGCGGCTACCCCGACGTGGCTGCCGTTGGTCACAGTACGCGCAGCCTTTTCTTCCTCGTTGTGCGCGTGGCGGTGCGAGACTCACCGTTGGACTGCTTGCAGACCTGATGTGCGCCCTGAGCGGCGAGTTCGTGCCCATCGATGGCACGAGCGCGAGCACGCCCATCTTCGCCGGCGTGGTGACCCTCCTTAACGACGCGCGCGCCGCTGCCGGCCTGCCGCCGCTGGGCTTCCTCAACCCGATCCTTTACCAGGCCAGCCGCGACCGCCCCCAGACCTTCTACGGTACGTGCTCTGTTGCTGCGTTTCGTGAGCGTGTGTCGTGCATGTCGCGTGCGCACGCAACTCGCTCAACTCGTGCGTGTGCATGCAGATCCCGTGTGGGGCAACAACAGGTGCGGCGCGCTCACCGACACGCCGGTGTGCTGCCCCGAGGGCTACCACGCCACCGACGGCTGGGACGCCTCCACCGGCCTCGGCACGCCCAACTTCCTGGAGCTCAGGCAATACGTGCTCCAGTACCCCAAGACCAAGCTTTGAGCGCAGCACAGACGCCCTGAGCCGGTCCTGCCTGGCCGGTCTTTGGTTGTCCTGCTGACGTGTAACCCACTCTGTCGACAACAAAGCGTTTGTCTTTTTTATTTTCTTATTCCCACAAAGATGGCGATGCTTCACCTGTTGGCGCTGTTGGTTGTATGTTTTGGCTGCACGAGCTGGGCCTCTGAGGCTGCTCCCCCCAACACCTTGTTGGTGGTTGGCAATGGTACTGACTTTTTACAAGCTGTTGTTGCTCTTTTATGATGTGCCCTCATGTCCTGCCCCCTGAAGGTGTGGTGACGGCCCCTTCGAGTACCGTGGGCAGGGTCACGGTGGGCTTCGAGCTCAAGGACGAAGATGCGTCCGCCTGTCTTCTCCGCGCCCAAACCTTCATGTCCCAAATCATCAACTCGCTCCTGGCCAACGAAACTTTGGTGCGTGCGAGCTACCCCGGTGCTACATACAACAAGCCAAGAAAAAGCTTCTGGTGAGCTGAAAGTTAGTCGCTTATGCTCATGCCTGGCCTCCTTTCGAACGCGCAGGGTGTGAGTCAGGTGAAGACGGACAGCTTCGCGTTTGCCCCGCTGGCCTACTGGGAGCAGCCGCCAGTCTCGGGCTACGGCGTGAAGAACTTCGTGTCGTTCAACACCCCCGTGGAGACCATTGGCGAAGCCATTGCGGTCGCCATCGCCAACGGCGCCCAGATCATCCAGAACGTGCAGTTCATCACCAGCCCAAACTCTGGTCTTGACTCCCTCCGCCCAGTGCTTCGACGTCCGCATGAACTGACACCTTAATGTGTCGTTGGCCGTGTGTGTGGTGTGTGGTGTGTGGTGTGTGGTGTGTGGTGTGTGGTGTGTGGTGTGTGGTGTGTGTCGCGAATTGCAGGCAACGTGCGGCAGTACTACTTGCAGGCGCAGTCCCTGGCCCTGGACGACGCGATTACCCAGGCGAAGGCGATCATGGCGAAGCTGATGTGCAGGTGGGACGGCATCTACTCCATCGTGGCCAACTCCCCCGGCTACGGCTACGGCCACGTGTACGTACCACCACAACCATTGCTGCCCGACACCGCTTTTTCTGCTCACATGTCCATCAGCGACTACGGATTTGCTGCGGAGGCCTCCCGTTCGTTCATGCAAGCCAGCGCGCCTGTCATCATGAACGACGCCGAGGAGGTCAGGGCCTCAGTGACCGTCCAGTTCACGTACTCGGGGTGCATTCACTCCTAAATTCTCATCATTCCAGCCAATCTGGTGCTTTTCTACTTAAAGTCTAAAAGCCGCCGGCGAGTTCGATGTTCTGGGCCGTCACCCAGCTGGCCTGCGGGCTGGCCAGGAAGGCCACGGTGTGAGCCACCTCCTCGGCCGTGCCGAAGCGGTGCTCGAGAGGGGTCTGGGCCTTGGCGGTGGCCTTGAACTCGGCCGGAAGAGTGTCGGCCATGTCCGTTTCGATCACGCCCGGCGCGACCGAGTTGACGCGGATGCCCCGCGGACCCAGCTCCTTGGCCGCCGTCTTCGTCAATACCTCGACCGCCGCCTTCGTTGCCGCGTACGCTCCACACGTCTGCCGTTCGTGTGTTGATTAGTGCAATGGAACACGACACACGACACACGACACACACGACACACGACGCACACGACGCACACGACACGCACACACTCACACGACAGGCAACATACCGGCGCAGCAAGACGAGCACCGATGCTGGAGAGGTTGATGATGGCGCCGCCGGAGGTGAGAACTGTGGAGGCGGCCTGGATGCCCCACAGGGTGCCCTTGTAGTTGACCGCCAGGAGGCTGTCGACGTCGTCCTCGGTCACGTCGGCCAGCGGCGAGACCGTGAACACGCCCGAGTTGTTGACCAGCACGTCGAGGCGGCCCCAGCGCTTGACCACCTGGTCGACCAGGTCGAACACCTGCGCCCGCACGGCCACATCGGCCTGGAAGGCGTGGGCGCGCCCGCCGCCCCGCTCGATCTCGTCCACGACGGCCTTGGCCGCCTCCGCTCCATTGACATAGTTGACGGCCACGATGGCGCCCTCGGCCGCCAGCTGCTTGGCAATGGCCGCGCCCAGGCCGCGCGAGCTTCCGGTCACAATCGCCACCTGACCCGCAAGCCGGCTGGTCGAAGCTGTAGTGTTGGTCTGAGTGGCGAGCATTGTGTTGATGAGTTGCTGGTGAGTTGTTGTTGTTGAGTTGCTTGAACTGTGAATCTAAAGAGTGCATGATGAAGTTTATATATAGTCGCCGCATCGCGGTTCTCATCTTCTCATCATTGCGCGGCGCTTGATGGGTTTAGTTCCCCCAATAGTAAAAATTGAAACGTTGCGATCGCAAAATTGTTTTCATTGCGATTGGAGCTCAACAATGCTTGCATAAAAGGAAACACTCACTCGCCGAGAGCGAAGAGGGAGAAGGCCATGAGAGCCATGCCGAAGAGCATTGCGTAGGTGGCCATCCCATCGCTCTTGTCGTAGCGGTGTGCTGTCGTGACACACAAGACGCAGAAGACGTGAGAAAGAGTCAGAGCGAGCTTACATCATCTTAACAACACAGGCATGCGCACCTGTTGGGATGAGCTCTCGCACGGAGATGAAGACCATGATGCCCGCAATCAAGCCGAAGAGGATCGCATAAACGATCGGGCTGGGCGGAAAAGAAATGCAAGTAAATCGATGAATTAATTGCAGTGCATGTTTACTGCGTCAGTGCAGTGAGGAGTCTTTACCTTAGGGTGCCGCCAACGGCGCCCCAGGCGATAAATGCGCCAATGGGCATCGAGATGCCCGCGATGAGGCAGTACAGCACGCCTTGCCACCTGTTCCATCGTAAGAACTCGAGCTCGCAACACGACACTCAACACGACACGACACACACGACACACACGACACACACGACACACACGACACACGGCACACGACACACATGGCACATGACAGTACTTGCTACGGGTGGCATAGTAGATGGGCATGGCCACGCAGATGCCCTCTGGAATGTTGTGAATGGCGATCGCCAGAGTGACGACCAGCCCTGTATTTGAGACGCGGATGGGGGATGGGGGAAAGAAAGCGAGAAAGGTGAGTGCCAGGCCAACGCACCGCTCAGCGTCGAGCCGGGCGTACCGAAGGAAGGATTCGAGAGGGTCGACACGAACGTCATCATGCCCTCGGGAAAATTGTGGACGCAAATAGCGAGCGCGGTGATCAGGCCCATGTTCCTGTGTGCGGTTCCATTAAGTTGCGTGTCGTGTGTCGTGTGTGTCGTGTGTGTCGTGTGTATGTGTGTGTGTGTGTGTGTGTGTCGTTTGTACGCTCGTTGCTGTTAGTGGGTGAAGGGGAAGGGGTGTACGAGAGCCGTCGGGCGTCCTCGCGTTCCACCTCGTCGACGAAGCTGTTCTCCTCGAAGACGTCGTGCTCCTGGCTGTCGTCATCAATCACGATGCTCCCGTACGTCCGGATGTCCTTGTCCTTCAGCGCCTTGCCTGGCGGCCATTCCATCAGCAATGCCACCACACAACATTCCACATTTTCAACATTCCAGTTGTAATTTGTTTTAAAAAATGCCATGGTGAGCACGTACCGCCAAAGAGCGAGGTGACCTTCTCCTGGAGATCCTCCAGCTTGTGTGACACATGTGACAAGCCCAGCGCAATCAACATTCCTGGCATAGTGCGACACGCACCCACACATGTCATAGAACGCATACCCACACGCACACAACCGCACACGCACGCGCACGCGAGCGTACCGGAGAAGAAACAGAGGGAAGTGCGCCAGGAGGCGCCGTCGTCGCCGGCTACGCACACGAAGTAGGCGTGCGATTTGGTGAGGATCTCGACGAAGCTGAGGTAGACCATGACGCCGGCGGCGAAGCCCAGGCCGGCGCCCAGCCATCGCTTCTCGTTGACGTTGAAGAAGAACGGGATCATTCCGCCGAGCACGGTCGATAGTCCGGCCGCCGAGGTGTAGACGAAGGCCAGCACGATGTCGCCCCCGCTCGAGTCCTCCACCACCGCACACACTCCGCCCACTTCCGCCATGTCGTCTTCGCTTTCTTTACGGAAAATAAAAGGGAAGAAATATTAATAATAAGTTGTGGTGTAAATAAATAGAAATAAATGAGGTTGGTAAAGACGCCTGCGGGTGTTGGTTGTGCTTGTGTTGGTTGGGCAGAAGCGAACAACTGTCCGAAGGAAAAGGCCGAGCGCCCAAAATAAATAATCAAGAAAATATTTTCACACATCCTTGAAAAAGAAAGAAGGCTGCACCAGCTTGTGAGCTTCCTTCACGCCCATCTCAAGAGCCCATGGTCATCATCAATGAAACCCACATTCTGTACACTTCTGTATTGGAAGCCATCAATTAGTGCCCTTACTCAATGTTGAGTGCTTGTTGTATTGTGCAGAAGACACAACTGGGCAGCTTTGAAAAAATGTTGTGGTTGAGTTGACACTACTGCTGGAAGTACACTGCTACCAACCATGGGTGAGCCTGCAGCTGGACCTTTATGTAAATGGCCAAGGTCAGAAGAGTTTAGGTTGTGGAATTTGGTACCAAAAGGTCAACAACCTCACACAGGCCAAAGGTTTGACCTTGTTGTACACATGTGTTACCCCATCTTCTTTTTGGCTAGGTGCACATACAACACAAATACCAACCTCTTTTCGCAAGTCCTATGACCCAACCCAGCGCCCTCCTGGCTACGGAGAAAAGAAATTAAGTGAGAAAAGAATAAAAGAAAAGATAGAGCGAACGAAGAGGAAGCCAACAAGACAACAAGTTCTCGGAAGAAGGTGCGAAGGTGGTAAGCAGGTGTACACCAGGAAGGGCATGGATGACCCACGGCGCCCGCACCACCAGGCGTCGCCCCCAGGCAGCGGCGGCGGTGGAATGCGGCAGTTTCTCACACAGCTGGAGTCATCATCAACTTCACCTCCATCATCATCATCGCCATCATCTTCTTCGGCACTCCCGCCAGGCATTACGGGAGGTGGGGAGGACACCACAAAGGCCCTGGAAGAGCTCCTGGGCAAGGCCACAAAGATGGTCGCCATGTCGGAAGCCTACCTTCGCCAGGTACACCCCCACATCATCTATCTTTTTTCTTTCTTTTTTGGGCACACAGCTAGGCCCATCAGGCCCACCGCGCGACTGTTGTCGTTGCTTGGGCTCGTTGGGCTCGACCGCGGCTGGGGTCTGTTACTGAGTCAGTCTTGTGCCTATGCTTTGGGGGGGGGCTGCGTACAGGCGCAGAAGGCGATCGACCAGGGACGGCAGAGCTCGGAGAGGCTGGAGATCTCCCACGGGCGCCTGGAGCTCATATCGGTGGAGCTTGACAAGCAGGCCCAGGTACAACCCAAGCCCTGTTGTTGTCGTCTGTTTGTTACCGACAATGCCAATGTCTGCCGCACTATGGTGCGCTGACGTGTCACATACAAACTAAACAACCAACCAACCAAATGACAATCGAAGGTTGTACGTCAGCTCACGGGCCAGCTGCGATTGCGAATCAATGGCATGCAACGAACGCTGCAGTCGTACAAATCTCGAAGCAACGAGGTACGTACATAGACATATGGGGATTGTGCGGTGTGTGTCGTGTCGTGTCGTGTCGTGTCGTGTCGTGTCGTGTCGTGTCGTGTCGTGTCGTGTCATGCGTGCTTATGTGTGTGGGTCGTGTGAACTGAGTCTCAGGACGTGCCGTTCTCAGGTGAACGAAGCGCTGCAGGCGATCTTTGATACGCTCAAGACGCGCAGTCTCGAAGAGGGTCTTCTCACGAGCCAACATTCCAACCTCTACGATTTTGTGGATAGCCAAAGTGTACAAAAGCTGCAGCGGCAAGCCGTGCAGGAAATTCGAGAGATGGAGGTACGCTGTGTACACCCCACGGCCAGTTGAACACTCCTCTGTTCTGTGAGACACAACTAACCCCTGGTGTTCATGTCTTGGTGCGTGTTGCGGTGCGTGTGCGTGCGTGTTTGATGACAACGCAGAAATTGCATAGGAATGTAAATACGATCATGCAAAGTGTAGATACCGCTTTCAAAGGACTCAAGGCTGCTGCTGACGCCGCCGAGATTCGAGTCGATTTCCGCTTGTCGTACCCCACAGAAAAGGTACGACTACCTCGCTCCTTCATCCGCTTCATCTCGTGCGTGTGCGATGTATATTCTACACATTCCACTGACCACACCACACACACACACACACACACACACGCACACACACACCGTGGCGCATATCTCCAGACATCGCTTCAGTTGAACGAAGCCAACGCCATGTCCGCCATTTCGCTTTCCATCGCCTCGCACTGCGATCAGCTCCGCCACTTGCTCCAGTACTGCCCCCACCCCGCCCCCCAATGTGAGATATACGAGAAAGAGCAGCCCAGTCCCTTACCGCACCCCGCTTCTTGTATCATCGGTTCGAACGCTGCAGGAGTCGAGCGGGCCCCAAGCCCCGATATGTTGACCTGACCGGCATCCGCAAGCGGGCGGAGCAGCTCCCGAGTTCGCTCTCCCTGGCCTACAATCGGCTTCAACGCATCCAAGAATCGACCAAGCAAATCGAAGACAGGTGGACCAACCATTCGTCGCACGCGCGCCACACGCACACAGCACGCACGCACGCACGCACACGACCAACGACACGACACAGCTTGACTAACACGTCATGCATATAACAGATGCCAGAAGTACGCCACAACGTTCCAGCGGGCGACGCAGGTCTTTGCGCAATTCGAACAGTTTGGCGTCGACGTTCAGGAAGTG